AAGATGTCCTTGAGTTATCCTGGTTAGGTTTAATATTAACACTGGGGGGGAAGCCTGCTTTTCTCCCCCAGGTGGGAGGCGGAGAGGTGCTTGGAGGAGGCCCCCGGGGCTCACCTTGTCTTTTGTGTCTTGCTTTTAAAAATTTCAGTCCTCTTGCTATTTCTTTTCCTTGGACATTTCTCAATCCCCAGGATTGTTCATTTACGAGCCTTTATGAAAGGCCCTGGGGAACATTATTGTTCAGAGAAGAGGGGAGTAAAGGAGAGTAAATGGGAAAATGGTTCTTGTGGTACAGTTTATCCCCTGGTGCCACCCAGTATCTATACAGGTATATCTTTGGTGGCTAATCCACCTGTTCTTAGTGACTGTAGCATTAAGTCCTAGAACAACACAGTCTGTTGGAAGGATCTGGAAATTGCTGCTTTTATCCCTAAGTGTAAGGCAAGATGCCTGCCACAGATGTGAGTGCCAAGAGGCAGGTGCTTCTCCCTGCAGGGGATAAGGAGAGACAGATGAGGGGGAGGTCAGGAAGTCGTCTTGGAGGTGCAGGAGCTGGGAGGCTGAGGAAGAGCCTCCAAAGAGGAGTGTTAGCAGGGGATGCTGACAGGCACTTCCTGCAGCCCCCAGGCAGGAAGGAAGAGTCCCCAGAGCAAGGAGTCATGGGGGAGGGGGAGGGGAGCATGGCACTGGAGTGGTTTAAAACAAAACATTTGTGCTGATGTTGAGTACAAAAACTTCAAAAATCGTGTACAGGAAAGAAGTATGGAACTATATTCAGGAAGATAGCCATGCAGCCTCGAATCAAGTTTTCAAAGGTCTGGGGGAGGCTTTTATGTGTCTGTTTAACAGAATGTATTGATAAGTTATTTGCAAAAACACAAAAAAGAAATTGCTTGAGTCACTCTGGCCAGTTTCTGGTGTGGATGATGTTAGCAGGACATAAATTCAGGGAGAAAGTTTAGGAAAAGATGTCATTTTTATAGGCAGGAGCAATTGGAGGTATTGGTTTCAATGGCACAGAAGAAAATTGTGGTGCTGAGCAAGAGTGAGTAGAGGGGAAAGAGAAAATTACCAGGATAAAAGAATCCAATTATACTTAGAAATGCTGTTTGACCTTTTTCTTTTTCATTTATGTATATGTGGTGCTGAGAATCCAGCCCAGTGTCTCACACATGTCAGGCAAGCACTGAGCCACATCCCTAGCCCTTTTTAAAAATTTTATTTGGAGACAGAGTCTCACTGAGTTGCTTAGCACCTCAGTGTTGCTGAGGCTGGCTTTGTACTCACCATCCTCCTGCCTCAGCCTCCTGAGTTGCTGTGATTACAGGTGCATGCCACCCACCATGCCATCAAGTTTGACCTTCTTGAGAGATGGCCCCCAGTAAATTCAGCAGGTTGTTAAAATTTCTTTACAAAGTAAACTAGCTTTTAATATGAAGTGATAAGGGTACTTGATATACACATGTACATAGACATCAAATGTATATCATATACATTTATTTCTAAGACATACAATCCGAAGGTTTTCAGCTAAAGGGATATTGTCATTCAAAAGTGCAGCCTTCCAGTGGTAATGGACTTATTCCAGAACTGCAGAACTGGCCTAGCATAATTTAGGATTTTTAAAACCATCTTCTGGGCCAATTCACCATATAAATATGCTCAAGTTTAGTCTCCTCATGGGTCAGAGTATACTTTTGAAGAGCTACAGCTCATTTTTATGGGGCATTTACTTACCAAAAGACATTGTCTGTGTATTCTGTGACATCTCTGGTTCTGATATTTGTTTCCAAAATGTAAATACATGGAGGAGGCAGTTGGGAGTGGTTGAATGTCTGGGAGCAGTTTGGCTGAAAGCTAGAGTGTCTCCCCCTTATGAAGGCATCTTTCTGGACCTGGTCCTCAGTCCTTCCATTTTTCTCTTGATGCTCTTAGCTCATTAGCCAGAGCAGTGATGCAGGTCTGTTCAGGTTCCATGCCTGCGGGGGGCAATTCCAGTCAGTTGTCAGCCTGAAGAAATGGGACTTAAGGGGAAAGCAAAGCAGATTCGAGTCTAGTGGACTTGTATGATTCCACGTTGCACTTTGCTGTTCTTAGTTTCTTTTAAATGTGAAAGATGTCCTTGAGTTATCCTGGTTAGGTTTAATATTAACACTAGGCAGGTTTTTATCTTCTAATAGAATTGCATGACTTATATTGCACTTAAATCCATCACCTAATTGTTTATTACATTAATACTGGTAATGAAATAACCAGTTTTTCAACTCCTCAAATCAGACTAGTTGCCCTTTTCAGTATTGATTTCTTTGACTGTGGCTAACTTCAAGAAGACTGTCTTCTCTGCTCACCTGCCACATGTGGAGCTGCTTGGGAACTCACACCAAGCCCAGGCACCAATGTTCCAAACTGAAAGTGCTCCGAGTTCTGTTATGGCTGTATCCCCTGTATCCACTGTATCCATAGATGGGTGACCTTGCTTTACGTTCCCTGTTTCTCTTAATCCTTACACTAATCCCTCACTTCTCACATACGGGAAAAGGGACGTAGGAGAGGTTGCACAATTTACCTGTAATCTCGGTTAATTAATGGCAGAACCACAGGCTCTTGAGTAACAGTTGTTCCTATTCTTTCTCAGGTATGAACGCTGCTGTCCGTGCTGTGGTGCGCATGGGAATATACGTGGGGGCCAAAGTGTACTTTATATATGAGGTCAGTGTTTGCTTCCCATTTATTATTTATCTGTGCCTCCCATCTATCAGAGCTCTGCCATTGCAGGCCTGTCTCTCACCTGTCTCCCAAAGCTGAGCTCAGGAAGTGAGGGAAGAAAGGAGATAAGACTGAGCACATGTCATTTTGCTATCAACTTCCTTTTCTTGATTTGGAGGATCAGTAATCTCAAATGGTGGTATTTGTCTGTAGCTCTTATTCACATACAAGTGATATAGTCCTTTCCAGTGTGGGCTGAACTTGACCAAGCACTCTGAGAAATGGGGTAAAACAGCCACTTTGAGCTTTTCATTATTCATATGAAACCCAGGCCTACTCCCTAGTGTCAGTTCAGGCTTTAGTTTCAGAATGAAGAGTCTGTGACCAAATAGCAGGGATGGCACCTAGTCTTTGACTTTTGAGGCCCTGGCAACTTCAGAATCAGTAATAGTTGGATGAAAGGTGCTAATAGAGTTTGAACCACATTATTTATTTTAAGAACTATTTGGAAAATTTTACCTTTAATTTTTACATTTAGAAGTCATAGCTTCAAAAAAATGGGAAGAGGAGAATGTTTATTTTTAAGATTGAATTTTTCTTAAGATGACTATTAGTATGATTCCTCTCAGCATTGTATATATAAAAGACTGGAAGGGAATATGTACATCTTGAAAAGTAGAGCAAATATATTTTATATGCTGTATTTTATTCCTGCCATTATGACTGTTTTGTGTTTGGTATATTGATTCCAACTCTTCCTTTATTTATTTATTTTTGGTACTGGGGATTGAACCCGGGGATGCTTCGCACCCCCCACCCCACCCCCAGCCACATCCCCAGTCCTTTGTATTTTTTGAAACAGAGTGACAGTAAGTCACTGCCTCAGCTTCCCCATTTGCTGGTGCTTACAGGAATGTGCTACCACTCCTGGCCCAACTCTTGCTTTAAATGATCCAAAATGCTCCATCAGATTGATGACCCATTGTGTACTTGGCCCTCACTTCCATGATTCCTGATCCACCGTAACACTGCAAGATCTATATAATATTTTAAACCATCTAGGGTTTTATATCACTACCTGCCAAGACCTGGCATTGACTGAGTCCAAACTCATGGTCCTTTTAATGCCAATGTCTGGCCAAAGTGATTTCAAAAATTTCTAACCCCAGCCTGAGGCCCACCCCCATTCAGCGCTGTGCCACCCATGCTTGCCAGATACGTGTGTGGCTGCATTCATGCGACTCCCCGGGAGCTGGCGAGATTCCCCTGCACATCTACTAACTCATTTTCCCCTTTTGTGAAATGTCTGTTCCCATTCTTCTCTCATTTGTCTACAGAACCATTTGTTTATCATTTGCTGAAAAGAGGACTTTCCTGTGTTTTGGTTTGCTTTTTTGGAAGTGTTATGTGGTTTCTGTTTGTACTTATCTGGTTGGGGCAATTTTAAAATGACGGTTTTAACCTCCGCGTTTCTAGACCACTGTTTTATCATTTTGTGTTTGGATTGGTTTAAGGTCAAATTGCCCTTGTGAATTTCCATTCCTGGGCTCTGGCCAGGCTCTGATGGCTGCTTTCCCCTGCTTATTGACTTGGAATGAGCACATTAGCGTCGGTGCCACGGGCATCATCCTTCCTTCCACCCCACTACCTTCCAGTTTGCATTCAGTCTCCAAGTCTCTCACCTACACCCACTGGCTGCCTTTTCCTGCTCCTGCTGCAAGGCATACCTGTGCACCCTGAGGTGGTTTCCGCAGCCTTGACTTTTTCTTTTCTTTTAAGAGGTGAGGTATGCATTCTGCCTTAGACCTGGAGGGAGAATTTGGTGTTCTGGGCTGGAAGCTGTTCCTAATAAGTGAATGAGCTCTTTGGAGTTGGAGCAGCCTCAGATGAGGTTTTAGCAAAACGTGTTCAAGTTCAACAAAGTACAGGATGTTTCCCCAGGAAACCTTGTGATTTCAATGGCTGCTACAATCCCTGGCCTGTGTTAATGCTCCTGTTTTACAAATGCCTTCAGGACAGCGACTGACTGGATCTTGGTGGCGGCTTTGTGGGTGCGAGTTGTGAGGAAGGAAGTTATTTCTGTTATTTCATAGTGAAAGGAGCTGATCCATCCCAGACAGTTTACTTTCTCTGGGTCATTACGCCTCATTTTTAGGGCTAGGAAGGTGTGTTGACCTCTCAGGCTCCCAGCCCAGGATCAGGGGAGTGACTGACCCCAAGGACACTTGCTAGTGTTTTGAGACTTTTTTGTTACCTCATTGTTGGAAGGGTTCTTGTTGGTGGCACCTAGTGGGTAAGTCCAGGGATGCCATCCAGCATTCTGAAATGGACTACGTGGCCCCCACCACTGATGCCCAGCTGGCCTCAAATGTGAGCAGTGTTGAGGCTGAGCAGCCCTCCCTTAAACCAGGGGTCAACTCTGCACTTGGTTTGGATATTGGTAGAAGGGGGACCTGGTAAGGCTGATGGATATACGAGGGTTTCATCTTTGAAATAGTAACTGGTCAACTTGATTGGATTTAATGGTTTTGTCTTCCTGGCCCTTGTGTATCTGTTTTTATTGGCCACTGTGCACTGTGGTTGTCCACCTGTGTTCTGGTGATATTCAGACCTATGTGTACGAGACTAGGCACATTTTAAAATTAAGGAATTGGTATGGAACACATCTCATGGGCCTGTAACTGAGAACATGTGGTCTTTCTTTTGAGGCAAACCAGATTTATTCTCTACATCATTGTATTCATTAAAGATATAGCTGGGGATTTGTTAGATGGGTCCATAAGCTCGGAGGTTGAAAAGCCTCATTATGGCCATCTGCAGTCCAAGGAAATCAGTAGCTGCTCACTTCAAGAAGCTGGAAAGCTCAATGTGAGAGATGCAGCTCCCAGCCACAGGCTGAAGGCCCACGGCTGCCTAGAGGGCCACTGGGTACAGGTCTGCATTCAGAGACTGAAGAAACCGGATTCTGAGGTCCATGGGCAACTCTTCAGCAGGGGCACAGCAGGACTGCTGCTTATTCTTCCATCAGGCCCCACCCTGTTGGATAGTGCCACGTTCAGGGCAGATCTTCCTCAGTTCAGAGACCCACACACATCAGCCTTCCCTGAAACACCCTCATAGAAGTGTGCTCTGGAAGGCTCTAGCAGCCGTCCATCCAGCCAAGCTAGCACCCAAAGTCAGCCATCACGGTTATCAACTAGCAAAGTTGGGGCTCTGAGGTCCACACTGCCTGGTAGGCAGCGAAGGTGCCTGAACCCAGTGGTCTGTAGGGGCTGCATTTGTCCTTTCCTCTCTGAAGCGGTGGCTAAGGGAAATTTTGGCTGGTGTGGGCTCCTCTTCCTATCCTTTCCTGGAGCGGGAATGAGGAGTCCTGGCTCCGGGCAGCTCCCATTTCCTTTAGGAACCTCCACAGTTCTTCCATTGATATGTTGCCAGAGAATTCTGTGTGCAAATGTTGTTTAAAGACGACTCTAAGTTTCATGGTAACTATTTTACTAGGAGTGGGCACCTTAGATAGAGGCTGTCACATATCAGAATGTAGTTGTACCTGGATTTTAAAATTCTGTCTTAGTGGAGTGTAATGGAAACACCCCAAAGATGAACTCTTTTGAATTGAAATTGCCCATCCAGAGATGATGAGGTGCTTCTCATGATACCCCTGTCCATCTCCCCACAAACGGTAATCTTAGTGGAAGAGCTCTATCCTTACAGGAGGATAGTCCTCAATATCTACTTTACCTTGGTTGGGCTCACTAGAAGCATATTCTCAGACCCACCTCAGACCAGAGGGCCTTTGTACAAGTAGCAGGCTCTTTGCTCAGTAGCAATAAATGTTATCTACTTGATCGGTTTGGAGAATCATTTCCTCTCTGTTATAGATTTAAAAATTTGTATCTGTAATTCTGAAATTAAAAAAATTCTAAAATCTGCAAGTTTTTTCTAACTTACTCAGCAATAACATCCTGGCTGCCTGTAAGGCTACCTATAAATCCTGGCTCACCCACCCTGTGTATTTGTACCTTAATCTTCAGAATCCCACGTCTGTAGGGGTGGGTTTGAGGTGGTGTATGCTCCTGAGAGCCCCAGGTTACACAGCAGTAATGTTCATACTGCTTGCTAAAATCCAGTGTCTTTTGAATTTTGGTCTGCCTCTCACTCACAGAGTTTGGGTAAAGGATTGTGGACCTATAGCAAGCATCTCGGTGGCAAGATGAATAAATTAACCCATAATCCTGTGTCTTCCTCTGTCCAGTGCAGAGGCCTCCTTACACTAGCACCAAGGGGGGCTGTTTGTGACCAGACACAGTGTCAGGGTCCACCGCTGATTTATTTATAGACCTGCTGGAAACTGTGGGTGCCTTCTCCTGAGCTCTTGAGACTGTGCCCACATTTTGGAGCTTCTTTCTTGACCTCAGCACTATGACATTCAGAGCTGGGGAATTCTGGGAAGGAAGCAGAGTCCTGCACACTGCAGGATATCCAGCAGCATCCTGTCCTTACCAGTGAGATGCCAGGAGCACCCCCACCCTTCAGTCATGACAGTCAAAAATGTTGCCAGACATTGGTAAAATGTTCCCTTGGCAGAACGACCCTCATTGGGGACCACAATTCTTGACATATGTGGGCTCAAATTTAGAAGATGGTGCCATTTAGTATTTTATTGCATTTGTAATTTTATTTTTAGTCTAGTTTCTGTGTTTTGCCAGAGCTTTGGAGGTTACCATCAGACTAAAACAGTTAAGCAGGTTAGTATGAAAGAGGGGAATTGAAGTTTCTTTTTTTTCCTCTCTGGTAGAGGGCGTGTGAAAGTGTATTCATTGGAAGGAGCTGGTGTTTCTGGTAAAAGTCTGGCACCATATTAGCCTGAGCTGTTCTATCTGGCTGTGGCTTGCAGACCTGTAAATCTGGGGCAGGCCTACGTGTGGTGCATGCGAAGCCCTTGGCTTATGTGTCAGAGAGCTGGGGAGGGATGGTGGATTAACCCATTCTTTTCTACCTAGTCTGCTGATTATTGACTCCTTCTTGTTCTTCCCCTTAAGCTAGGGTTTTTCCTTAAAGGTATGGAAGCCTTTAGCTTCTTAGCGATGCAAGAACAATGGTTTGTGGCCAAGGCTGTGTCCAGCCGACTGCCGTGGTTAGGGTGGGTCACACTGAGTAGGAAGTCACCCTTAGCTGCCCCCCAGATAGCCGCTGTGACTGCAAGAAGACCCTGCAGAAGAGGGCTGTCTCCTTGAGTTTAGTTTGATATATGGGTTCAATATCCTGTTGTCAAAAGCTATTTTGCAGATTTAAAAAGAACCATTAAATATGACCCAAAAGTCTCTTGTTTTAAAAAGAAACTAGTTTGATGCTACTCATAAACAGCCATTTGTAAATATTATCAGTGTTCATCTCTCCTCTTGCACACCCTGAAATAAACACTAGGAGTAATCCCATCACTTTAACTGCTTAATCTTACTGTTATTAAAAAGAGCAGATTGTAAATATGTCTGTGTAAACCCTTCTTACAGTAAAGGAATAAGGGCATGGGCAGGTAATCCTGTAGTCTCCAGAGCTGCTGTGGTAGCACCTTTTCCCCCTACCTGTGGCCTCAGGGCTCAGGGTACCCCCTTCCATCGCAGCTTCCAGCTTTCTCTTTGAAGGCCCAGGTTCACCCCAGCTGGCCATCTGCCATAAGCTTGAATAATCAGCATGTAAATGTAGTGTCCCTTGTTCCGGCCTGAGCATTGTGACTTGACTTAATACACTAATAAAGAAGTTTTAATTAATAGATTGGTATCATTTTCTTTTCCTAATGGAGCCCCCTCCTTGCCAGAGGAAACACTGTCGTCCTCTGGGATAGGAAGCACCACCCTGCTCTCCAGTGTTTAAAATCGAGAAATGCCACCCTGTGACAGACTCACAAAAGTCTTTCCCATGCACCTGTCCCCTGCTTTGCTCAGAAGTGCTGCTGCCCCCTCTCCAGCCTCAGCATGCCAGCCACTAGAGGAGAGCCTGTGAGGTGACTTCTCTGTAGACATGCTGGAATCCAGATAACACCCGTGCTCTTGGGATATGAGTGCAGGGGTAGCTGGTGAAACAAGACGCCAGGCCTTGACTGGGCTGACCTTGTAAGGACATGTCTGTGCCCCATCTCACCCCTCCCATTCCTGACACTGACCTCCACCTTCCCCCAGCCATGCTGAAAATTCCAAACGTGCCTATGGTGTGTCATTCAGGCATGTCTCTTTGATGTTTTAAATGTAACTGCTTTTCTTTTAACTTCATTGAAGCCGAAGCTGCTTAGCCACTGTGTCTGCTGGAAAACGACTGTCCCCGTTGAGTGTGTCCCTCTGCATTGCTTCCTGTGCTGCTGCTTCCCACCACTGTCTGCGGGGGTTGGGCTATCCCCCCACTAACACGTGGGCATGGCGACTGCATTGCTTAAGTTGCTTAAATCGATTCACAAAAAGTCTGTGTGACCTAGGTCTCTGACGCATGCCTTATTACTTTTCCACTGCAATACAGGCCAGTGCATGTCCTGGGACATTGTCATAATTACAGGATGAGCATTTTCTTTTCTTTTATTGAATGCTCACTTCATGCCAGCTCTTAGGGTAAATTCTTCAAGTGAGATTTGTCTCTGGTGACATGTCCTCGACAGCTGGCGATGACATGCTTCATGTTGCTGGGAGCTTCAGCCAGTTTCATCACAGTTAGTATTTTTAAATTGCAAATGATCATGAGCTCCTTCCCCTGCCTCTGTTACTTCCACTGCCACCTTTGTCGCTATGGGGCTGGGGGAGCCCCCTTTGAGTTGTAAGATAGCCTCTCTCTGGGAGGAAGGTGACCTGTCTCTTCCTGCTGTTGTAACCACTGAGGCTGTGCACTGTCAGCTTTGACTTAAAGGACTCGAATAGTGCCAGAGGGCTAAATTAATCGTGTTACCATATTATTTGTTTTCCAAAGTGCCAAGTACAGGACTACATAATGATTTGCTGTGTTCAGCCTATTCTAGAGCGAAGTCTTACCAAGGACATCTCCTAAGGCTTCTTTCTCTGTTGGAATTTTCCATGGAATAATGTGCACACTTTTATGAGATGACTGTTCAGATCTCTGGACAAGAGTATTTCTTTAGATCCCTAGTGGAAAGGTGAGCATATGGGGGCGGAACTCTCCAATCTCAGGTTCTACATATGCATTCCCTCGGGGGAAAAAAAGAAAGTCACAGCTCTCAACTTTGAAAATCACTGACAGAGAACTTTCTGCTGCCCCCTTTTATTCAGTGCCTAGTCTTGAGTAAAGTAAGATTGCGGAGCCATTAGGCAGCCCACATAGCCATTCAGAGGCCCTGTGTGCTCACTCTCAAGTTCTGTAAGTGAAATGCTTTGGTTTATTCAGATATAAACTGGGGGAGTCCTAATACTAGCAAACTAACAGAAAATGTGTACACATGGAAGCATCAAAGCCCATGGATAAATCTTTGAATGCAATAACTACATTCACAGGAAGTCAGTTGTAACAGCATCTAGAAAAATGCTTTCAAAGTGCATCATTTTCAGCAGCTTGTTTTTCAGTTGTGGCTGGAATGTTTGCTGATCAAACAATTATTGACTGAAGAATTCAGGAAATCAGATTGGAAAAACAAGCTCCATCCAATTAAGATGCACGGATGCACTGAACAAAATTTCTGGAAGAAGAGGTATTTTGCTATAACACCAGCCCAATAAATTCCCTCTGGGTCTTTAATTAAAAAAAAAAAAAAAACATATATCTATCTTTCTTAAAAGAGAAAGCCATCTACAGCTGGAGTAGCTCTTTTTCTGTTTATGGCAGATTCAACAAATGCCTGAAAATACTGGCCCAAACTATTTCTAAAGAAAGCAGTGTCTGGGCTGGGGTTGTGGCTCAGTGGTAGAGTTCTTGCCTAGCATGTGTGAGGCACTGAGTTCTATCCTCAGCACCACATAAAAATAAAATAAAGGTATTGTGTCCATTTACAACTCAAAGATATATATGCAAGAAAAAGAAAGAGAAAGAAAGCAGTGTCTCCTAAGTGATCAGTTAGACTGTTACTAATGCTTATTCTGACATTGCTCAAAAGGATTTCAAACAAGAAATTGAAATGACTTTGGAGTCTGTGACGTGTTCTTAGATGTGAACAAGTGACTTGCATTAAAACTTCTGCAGGACAGTGGGTTGGGTGCTGCCTTTGCAGGTCTCTTAGATTCCACTTATGAACTAGGGACCACGAGACAGATAATGTTTTTGTTTTTCAATCAAAAGCTAAACATAGTCTTCAAGGTATTGTGGTTTTTTTTTTTTTTTTTTTTTTGTCTTACATGAGTCATAGAACTGCCTTGGCAGACAAATTCCAAAAGTTGTAGAAAATATTTTGCTATGTTAAAATAAGTATGTAGTCTTCCAGGGAGATTTCATTAGGAAAAAACTCATCTGAATACATTATAATACATTTGGTTAAAATTAGACCTACAATTTGGTAACATTTCTTTATTCCTAAAGACAGTTTAACACTGCAGTTAGCAGTTAGTTACTTTTCAAATGTTACATCCGTGATGACTTTGCAAATTGAAGAATGAGTCATTTCCTAGCAACTTACCACATGTGTACAATGAAGAGACCTTTGAATGCTATGCTAATTGCTCATTGAGTCATTCTTTTTTACTTTTTAATTGTTTTCTTTATGTGAAATAATCAGATTATTTTTGGAAAATATGTCACTTTTTAAAATGTGTGTCATGCTATGTTTGGGGATGTAAGCAGTATAATTTTCACTAATGGCAAGATCAGACAGGTTGAATTATTATTCACCTACACTTTAAAAAACAAAAACAAACAAAAAAATTGCCTTGGCAAATTGGGACGCTGACAAGATGCTTTGACGTGTGCAATGTGTTGGTGAACAGTTTGAGTTTGTGTCAAGTTATGAACACTCACGATAAATGTGTCCCTTTTCCTAAGAACTAAGAACTAGGGAATAGTAGGCAAAACACTTTATTCCCAGATTTTCTGTTTGGATAAGTCTGGGAAAAAGCTTCCATTATTAAAGGGTAACTTCAGAGGCTTCATTACAGTGTAATACTATTATCTAGTGCAAGTATCGCGCTGTCTTCTAACCTTTATGTGTGGGGGAAACTATATTTGTGGCCATTTGTGATTCCATTTTGTGTAATTTGGGGATCAATTAATGTTCAATCCACTTTTAAGACCTCCTGTATTTTCTCGCCCAGGGCTACCAAGGCATGGTGGATGGAGGCTCTAACATTGTGGAAGCCAAATGGGAGAGCGTGTCCAGCATCCTACAAGTGGTAGGTACCACGATGTCTCTTTGAGGAACTGTTTTAGTTTGAAACCTTTTTTACTTGGGCTTCAGTAACAGTGAAAACACATTTATGTGCTGACTTCTGTTAGTGATTTCCTTACTGCTTGCATCAAATGAAAACATTATTTTGCCATTTAATTAAATTTTTAAAAATAAGAAGCTCTCCATAATGTAAACCCAGGAAGTGGCCGTGATACAGAGTGTGTCATCGCCTGTTTTCCTGTGGCCCTGCAACTGGATTTTTTTTTTTTTTTAGATAAGACTACAGTTGAGGTGACTTTGGTGTGTTGGTGCTGTGTGTTCAGTGGTAAATCTCTGTGCTCATTAGGTTTTTGCATGTCTCTTGGCACTGGATGTAACAAAGCCTGGGAGCCCTGAGGGTTATAGCTTTAATGGGGAGCCTGCATCACTGTTCTGGTCTAGATCAGGCAGAGCTGATTTCCATGTTGTGCACAAGGAAGAGGTGATCTCCACTGCAGGGGGGAACAGTTGTTTACTCTGAGATTAAACCTAATACCTTCCTGGAACATTTCAGCTCAGCGAAGGCTCCAAGTTAAAAAGTGGAAAAGAATAGACTTCATGAAATGCTCCTAATTTGTGGTTTGGTTTTTTACAATGTGTAGACTAATGCTATGACTCATTTTGAGTACTTTTTATTAGAAACCAAACTAGCGCATTGGCTCAGAAGATGCTGGTGGAATATACATTGTAATGTTAGCCAACGACTCAATCTGCACCTAGCTCTGCTGTGCCTGGACAAAAAGTGAAGGAACTTTTGACAGCCATCAGTAATTAGATAGAACAATACTCATAAGACTTCAGGCTGTGTCGGCTGAATTCCACAGAGAAGAACTTTCCATTCTGCCATTGTGATTGAGACAGGATAATAGGAGGTGCTTATTGGGTTGGAGGGTGCTGGTGAGGGCTCTGTCCCTCTTATCTCTCCAACCTTGGTATTTCTGGGTATTTAACTCTTCTTCCAGGTGTAAAAAGTCACAGAATCCTCCAGCTGCTCTCTGTCAAGTGAAAGTCCAGAGAGCCAGCATACCCTGCTTTGACCTCTGCCCCTCCCACCCCAGGCCTGCCTCGGAGGGAGCCAGGTTGTATACTGTCACAGTTACACTTAGAACTAGCATTGTGAGACCAGGATCACTCTTGGTGCTGTTAATGAATAGAGTTTCAAAATTGGGAACTTTCTCATAATGCTTTGGCCAATTAAATGATGGCGATTTTAATGTAGAAAGAATGTGCATTTGTGTGGTTTAAAATGGGTCTTCATAAACTGATGTGACTTATACAGTACACTCTTGGGGTATCCAGACGAATACCAGCAAACCATGTCCCAGTAGAAGTCTACGCAGTCGGAGATGACACTGTTCCTAAGCACCAGCAGACACTTGAGGCATCTGGTCCAAACTGGAGTTCTTATAATTGTATTTGTTATTTAAAGGAGTCTTGCATTTCTCCAAATGCTACAAACCTACCATCCTCAGTTTTCTGAACAGCTAAGTATGAGAATTCATGATTTATCTCTCTTGGAAGTTTGAGGGATCAGATTTCAGTTTCCTCAAGATTTAGCCTCTGAAAAGGGTGGAGGGATGTAATGCATAAACCAGTCTCTGTTTCTCGGGTTCCCTTGGTGATGCTTGAACCTGTGGTGCAACCTGACTCAGGGAAGGAGCCTTGGTCACCTGGAAGCAGCAGCACAAGTTGCTTCTTGGGTCATGGCTGATGACCACATGGTGGCCGCATCCCATTCTGTGTGCACCTGGTCACACTCACCTGCTGTGGGTACAGCTTCCACGCAGGCTTGCTGGACAGCTGTGGTGACACCACAGAATTTCAAATGCTCTGTATACTTGGTCCGTGGCTGTGTTTGTCTTCAGCTCCATACCTTCTTGGCCACTCTGGGCATGACACCTGTGTCCTTCACCACAGAATTCCAATATGGGTCTAAAAATGAGAAAATCACCAACTTTCACAGTGGGCTGACAAGGCATGCCAACAAGGAGAGTGTAAATTGAAAGTCCCATGTTTACTCATCAGTCTGCGTGTGCTGATCCATCTGGCCTTCTTTCTAGTTGAAAGGAGATCAATACACATGATTTTATCTTTTCCAGGGTGGGACGATTATTGGCAGTGCCCGTTGCAAAGCCTTTCACACTCGAGAAGGTCGCTTACAGGCTGCTGCTAACTTGGTCCAGTGGGGCATTACCAACCTGTGCGTGATCGGTGGGGACGGAAGCCTCACAGGGGCCAACATCTTCCGGAAGGAGTGGAGCGAACTGCTGGTGGAGTTGGCCAAGAATGGTACATTTCCCTGTCCGCTCATACTGGTCTCTGGAGCTTCTGTTTTCCCCATTCATCTTCCCTGGCCTTTAGTGAGATTTGAAATGCAAACATTTTGCCTTTGTAAAAGTTTTATTTTGTGTCTGACGGACAAATAGCAGTTGTGCACATTTATGGGTCCTTTTTACTGTATGAGCCTCTTAACTGTAGCCAAGTAGATTGGGTATCATTGTGGTGGTTCTTACAACTTGTCATTTCAGGATTTGAATTGTGTTTCTCAAATAATAGCAGTGATGATGGTAAGCCTCACTGTGTTCTGGGAAGCAGTCAGCCTTTTACATAGATAGTCCTGTGGAATTCCCACAGCCATCATCTGAGATAGGTTTTTACCTTGTCTCAATTTTATAGATGAGGAGTCAGAGGTGACAGGGGAAGCACATAGCTAGGGGAATGGCTGGGACTCACGCCAGCCCTCAGACGCCAGCTTCCACCCTTTGAGCCATCGTGGTACATCCCACTGACTCTGCTGTGGTCACTTAAACCTGAGTTGTTGCAGGAGTTTAGACAATGACGATCTGCCATCTTGGAGAACCCTGTGTATCCTGTAGCTTTCTCTCCTTCACAGTTGGTTTTGTATGATATGATGTGTGATATAAAAGTGCGTATCGCTCAGGCTGGTAGCAACTGCATGAAAGATGTGAAGGTGAGCTCACGCATTTGTGCTCAGGTTTGTAGTTAGGACTGGAGCATTACCACCAGGCCAGAGGTGGCGAGGGCCTCCCGCATCCTGCCGTCCACCTTGTCTGATCTTAACACAGGTCTGTTGGTAGCACAGAGTAGGAATAGTGGCCATGAGTCCAGGTCAAAGCCTGTCCCTGCTCCTTTGGCCATTCTAATTTATTTTTTTGCAGAACTGCCTGATCCAGGTGAGTCTGTCCAGACAGTGCTAGGTAGGTGGATACCCACCAACTTGCTAGCTCCCTGTGGAGCCATGAGAAAGGAACTGAAGCTGGTATTTGTGTCTCAGTACTTAATTATGAGATTGTAGTGTCACCTTGTTCATAGTGAGTCATTCTCCAAAGGTGTTGCTAGGTAAAATAGAGGTTCATACGTACTGATGCTCTTGTTAAGTGCCCTGTGCCCACTCACGCTTCTGTGATGACTTCTGACTCTGTCTGGCTTTTCTTTCCTTAAGTCTATAGATGCAAGCTACATATATTTCCGAGGAAACAATGAAGAGAAACGTGTAGAATCCTTGCTCTCTTTACCTGTGGCCATCTGCCTAGTTCCTGGGCAACTCTTAACTGTGTTGCTTGTTTCTAACGCAGGTAAGATCAGTGAGGAAGCCGTGACGAAGTACTCTTACCTTAACGTGGTGGGCATGGTGGGTTCCATCGACAACGACTTCTGTGGCACAGACATGACCATCGGCACGGACTCTGCCTTGCACAGGATTATGGAAGTCATTGATGCCATCATGACCACTGCCCAGAGGTAAAATTCTCCGTAGGAACCATGAGTGTTGACTGTAGGCACGTGATGTGCCAGCGCTCACACACTACTGCTGGCTGTGCCGAAGGTGCTATGGAGGGCTGTCAATATGGTGCAGTTCCAAGCACAGAGAGTTGTTCTCTGGTTTACTTTTCACTTTAAATTTTAAAATATTGCTTTTTAAAAAAAATCTGATCGTAGAAGGAAATGCACTTGTGGGAGAAAAATTAGACAACAAAATTAAATTATCCAAAGCCTTGCCCAAAATTTCCTTGAAGGAATAGCTTGCAGGTAAAGGGATGGAGCGAGTGAGCTTGTTGGAGAGTGAAGAGGCATTGCCTTGTGCTGGGATTCCAACCTGCAGTTGACAGGAATATAGAGCCACATCAGCTCAGCCAAGCCCGCCCAGACTCATGGCAGGGCATTACCCGTCACTTTAGGGCTGCTGAGAGTTCCTGAAGCACTATTCATAAAAACCATGTGGAATAGGAAATAGGGCAAGTGCCTCCCATTTTGAGGATGAGAAGCTTGAGACTTGGAACTTTGGAAAAGTACCCAGAGGGTAGGGCCTCCCAAGTCCTCACATACCTGTCCCGTTTGCCTCTGTTGCAGACCAGGTGTGAATGTGGTAGACACCTAGGAAACCACTTCATCTCTTCAGGTGTGGAGGGATTGCTCAGAGCAGTTGGCTCTTGCATTCCTTGGAGAGACAGTAGTCATTGGTGTTCATGGAGCTGATCTGTGACACTCATGACTTTACGTGGGATGTTTCCAGCTATGGATCTTGACAGAAGCACCTGATTTTGCCCAGCAAAGAAAAAAGCATAGAACAAATGTGTAAGTTAGTCTTAGGCTCAAGCAGCAGGTGTAGAGTACGTGCTTAGAACCTGCAATTGCTGCTAATGCCCCTCTGCTCAAAAGAGTCTGAAGTACTGTTAATAGTGGTATTTTCTTTTGTAGAAAATGAGTCATTTTTTGGAAGCTTGGGTACCTGCCATCTTTAGGCAGCAGACTTTGTCTCACCTGGCTGGAAGAGCACTTTTCTGTTCACTTTCCATACTGTTCCCAGTGGAGGTGACTGGATTTTCCCTTTATATCTTTCCAGCCACCAGAGGACCTTCGTTCTAGAAGTGATGGGGAGACACTGTGGGTACGTATCTACAGACACGATTTGAGTGGAAAGGATCTTTCATTTGTCTCCTCCAGCGTCCTGCACCCCATATTGTATGGCTCCCAGAGAAGCCAGCATCTCCTGGTTCAAATCCAGTGTGACAAACTGACCTGGCTTGTTGTTGTGCTTGGGTGCCTCTGGTAGGCCGGCTGGAAGGTTTCTGCTCCGTATATTCATCCTGTCATTTTGTTTTATGTAGGTACTTGGCCTTAGTGAGTGCCTTGGCCTGTGGAGCAGACTGGGTGTTCCTCCCAGAGTCTCCACCAGAAGAGGGCTGGGAGGAAAACATGTGCGTCAAACTCTCAGAGGTAATTGGTGATTTTGCCGTGCGTGGCCGGGGGATTCTGGCTGTTGCTTTAGTTAGGATCTGTAATGGCCTTTGGGATTGCCAAATTGGGCAGCTCTTTAAACAAGTGAAAACTTGCTGATAGTAAAACAAAGCAAAGCCTGTTGCAGAGAAGTCTCCTCTGTGGGCTGTCCACATGTCTGTTTCCTCCTGAAGTGCCAGGAGGGAGCAGCTAGCATAGCACTTGGTTGCTTTTCATTCAAGGTAGTGATCCTAGTTTGAGAAGTGAATTCCATGGGATTATGGCTATTAAAGGAAGCCAGATTTGGGAAGAGAATCTGTTTGTTGACTTTGCTACCTCTGTGTGCCCAAGCGTGAACAGACCCTTGTTCACCTCTCCAGTTTTAGTTTGCCCAGAACACTAGGAGTCAGGTATTGTGGCATTTCCTTCTCCAAGGTGTGGGATCTGGAGGTTTGCCTGTTTGCTGATTGACATGAGCCAGGCTTCTTTCTTCCTCTGTCCAAAGTGAGCTGCACATTTGTTTCTCATACTGTGGCTGTTAGTGAGGCTTGTTTGCCTCCAAGAAGGCTTAATACTTAGGGTATTAGAGGTCTCACTTAAGACCATGATTAGCTTTTAGGATAGCATCTCAATATGTGGGTTAATCCTCCATCTATTTTGTAGTACTAGGGATTGAGTCCAGGGGCCCTCTATTACTGAGCCACACTCCCAGCCTTTTATTTTATTTTGAAACAGTGTCTTGCTAAGTTGCTGAGGCTGGCCTCAACTTGCAATTCTCCTTCCTCAGCCTCCTGAGTCATTGAGATTATAGGTGTGTGCCACAATGCTTGCCTTCCTTCTCTTAATTTTATAATCGTTATTAATTGTTCAATAGGTAACTTGTGCAAGCACCGTGTCACCGACCAAATTTAGTTGTATTCAGCAAGTGCATACATAGTGCCTGTGAGAATGGCCACGTGTTCAGTAAGGCTTTGACACAAGAGCCTACGTTAAAAACTATTGAGTAAAGCTGAACTGTAGCTAGGGGAAATCATGCATCCTTTTGAAGTTCAAGCTGTTAGTTGACATAGTACAAATATTGCCATTTGAGGAAGAGGTTCCCTGGTACCTGGTTCAGACCCAGGGGATGTAAGCAGAATCTTCATTGGGCTTGGATTTCATGAGATGTAGGTCCTACTCCTTTTAACAGGCATGTTCACTGGGCCCTGGGGAATATGCAATGAATTATACAGGACTTTTCTTCTGAGATCTCTGTGCTCAGTGAGCTTGGCCAGTCAGGTATCTGGCCTGATCCTCAGTGACATTGTAGGCCACAGGTCCAAGGACAGCCCTTCAAGGAAGACTCTGGGAGGCTGGTTAGAAAGAAATTCTACAATAAGATTGGTTCAGTCATTTGTTTTCTAGATACTTCCCTCATATTTGCAGGTGATTAAACTGTGTTGTCTCATCAACAAATCTAATTGAATTCCACACTTATACACTGCACTGTCAGGTATGACCAGAGGAGGGACACTGGCATCCACCTTAGGCTTTGGCAGAGGCAGGACTGATGGTCTGAAGTAATCCATATTTGGAAACACTTGATCTCATTCTGTCATTTATTCTTAATTGATCATCAATGCCCCACTGCAAGAATTTTTCCCAATATTTTGAGAAATAAATTAGCCTAGGAAACAAGCCCTCAAATGTCTCCAAGATGTATGTATTTTAATATAAAATTTATTACACCTTTCTGAGACATCAGAATTCCTAGGTTGAAACCTTGGGTCTACCACTCAACGGGTAGTTTAGGACAAGTAACCTCTCCTTCTTGCATCCAGTTTCTCTGCTATAATTTGCAAAATCCTTAGTGATTTTGCAGAGTCAGTGAATGCATTCGTCCAATCCAGGTACAGGACAAGGAGGTGATCCATAAATGACAGAGGCAAAGGGGCTGTCTTCCCACCTCAATGTCCTGAGGACTGTGGTTTGTAATCAGTCCAGAATGGTGTGTTTGATGGTTGTTTAGCCAACCAGTTATTTATGGAAATTGTTATCATCTCTGCTTTTTCTCTTTTAAGCAAGGCTGAAGTTGTCACTCTGTACTTTGAACCCGTAAGAAGTTGCTTCTGCATAGCAAATTCTTCAAAGCATAGCACATTTCATATCCATCAAGAATGAAAACAGAATATGAGTTTAACACTGATGTTGTCAGAGTGAGCCATGTTAGAATAACCCGCCTTACCCTAGTTCTGGCAGGGCTGGCTGCAGTCATGGCCAGGGGTCCTCACAGCTACCACTGACACTTTCTACAGAATGGTCTTTAATTTGGGACCTTATAGAAATGTATCCTTAAGAATGAGTTAATCTCCCTCATGCAGTGGTTGCTACATGTTATGGTTCATTAAAGGCTCACGGGACTTCTGTAAGTATCTAAGACAGTGCCACCAACAGTACCAGCTAGAGAGTCCAGACAGCATGAGTGGACACTAAAGTACAGCTGCCCAAACCCTCTGTCTGGGCTATGGATCTGCATTATTCAGGTGTCTGTTGTTGTGACAAATCACCTGAAGAAATCAACTTTAAAGGGGGAAAGGTTGATCTTTGGCTCATGGTTTCAGAGGTCTCAGTCCATGGTCAAGACTGCCTGGCAGAGGAGGGGATAGGGTCCCAGTGTCCCTTCCGTGGAACACCCCCATTGACCTATTTCTAACCCTTGGCCTCTCTTTAAATGTCCCACCACATCCCAGTGGTGTTTTGGGGTGGGAGCAGGCCTTCAACACATGGAACTTTAGGACATTACAGATGTAGACTGTCACAGGGTCCTTTCCCGCCTTCTTTTCGTGCCCCACCCGTCCACTTCTCCGCGTGTGCACAGTCCTGTTCATCGCAGTGGCAGCAGATTCCTGGCCCAACATAGGAGTGGGCTGTGTTGGGGATGGGGGCTCTTGGAGACGAGCAGGAAGCCCTGAGTGTAAAGGAGACCAGACGTAGTTTTCAGGGAGACACAGGTCGGGGGGTCCAGCCTGTGTGGGATCCACCTCCCTGTTGTGGCCTGTCAGCAAGTTGGCACTCTACCCCTGCCTTGGCTGGCTGGGGGTTCAATTCTGACCAGTGTTTGCAATGCCACCTAAGCCATTAAGTCCCATGGAGACCCCCAGCCTTCCCTGCTGTCACTCAGGCTACCTAATTCCTTCAGTGTCATCGAGAAGCACTTCTTGAAAGGATTTCTGCCTACAAATAGGCCAGTTTACTTTGGGACAAACTTCTATGGTTTGTTGTTGTTGTCAAAAACAGGTTAAGAATGCGAATGTTTTCATTTTCTGTTTCTTTAGAACCGTGCCCGAAAAAAAAGACTGAATATTATCATCGTGGCTGAAGGAGCAATTGATACCCAAAATCAACCCATTTCCTCTCAGAAAATCAAGGATGTAAGTTTGTATAATTTCTCATTTTTACTCTGTTGTGTACCTGGAAACAGGAGCTGTTAGCATGATTGACAGGGTTTTGATCTAGAACACTGTATAGTACTAATCTTTTTTTTTTTTCTGGTCCATGATAGTTTAGAGTTTTTTTCCTAATGACTCATAACTTCAATGGCCTGGGGAACATACAGCTCCCAGGCCGGTACTTTTTCTGCTCTCTCTTGTGATATTCCTCAAGGCTATGTGGCTCCAGCAGAAATAGGGAGAGACATATGGTGACCAAGCATGTTCTTTTGGTTAGGAAGTTCCAGCTATTGAGCATCAATTGCTCTGAGGGTGAGCAGGACTGACCACATGGCAGCTGACCTGGGCTTCTCTGTTTGCAGCAGCAGAAGTCCCTCCCCCAACCCGGAGCATCAGCTGAACACATTCTCAACAAGCTGCCTCATTGGCCATGAGTCATTGTGTCTTTACGGCCATGAAGAAAGGCAGGATGCTGCCATGAGGCTGGCTCAGTACATTTCTCTCACTGATTTCAGTCCCAGCACTGCACATCCATATTCAATTACTGACCCATTTCTATCAAAGACATCTGCCAATGTTTGCGAAAAGTGATCCATAAAACGAAGGCAAAGATTTTCCTTCTCACTTAACTGAGATTAAATCGTGGAATACTATGCCAGAAAGGGACCATGGACACAAGGCAGCCAGCCCTGCTGTTGGTAGAGAGGAGGACTCTGAGTCCTAGAGAACTTTGCCTCTGCACATCAAAAGCTGCCATTCCTTCGGGTGCAGGGCTGACAATCCTGGGTGATGTTATTCAGATGACAGCTGTGCAAGTTGAAGCTGATTGGGGAATTGCTTACATTTTCAAAAAATATAGATACCTGAAATAGAAGCTACTTGAAACACAGTGCTTTTTGGAAAATAAATGTTATGTTCATTAGCTAGTTGGGAGATATGTTGTTTTTGATAACAAAAGTGTTATTTCAAAAAATATCTGTTAGCTGTTCCACTGAACATTCTTTAGGAACAATCATCTGTGACTTTAGTTCTGAAGAAAGAGTAGAGAAATCTCTCCTCAGCGCAGTGACTGTCTCCACAGCTGAACTGATGTGCCACATCGCAGTTTTGTACCTTCTAATGGAAGTCTTTCCCTTTAGCTTGTGGTGAAGCAGCTGGGATTCGACACTCGGGTGACTATTCTTGGACACGTGCAGAGAGGAGGGACCCCTTCAGCATTTGACAGGATTTTGGTAAGTGAGGATGGCAGATGCCAATCACAAGGTCTCAGGGAAGGAAATATTTGTGGACATTTAAAGGAACCTGTTTGTCATAAAGGCTGATGGGCAGCCCATCCCTTGAGATGCCAGCAGTCTGCATCCTAAGGTTAAAGATCCTTTGAGACTTGCTCTCCTAGAGGGATTTCCCAGTTTAAAATCACCTCAGTTGATGGGGAAGTCATGTGCCATTTCAGAAAGGACCAGGACAATGGAACCCAAGAGGTGGAAATGCAGTGTCCTGAGTGTAGGTTTCCACACGCTGGCCCGAGGGGACAGCGGGAACCCCGAGTCCAGACCCTCAGGTCTGAATACTCTCTGCTCCCTCGCCTTGTCCTGCTGCCCTCTTGCCAGTTCTCACTGTAGTCGTCGTGTTACGGGGAGGTGGACTGGAGGTGAGGAAGCAGGGTGGGAGGTGAGCACAGACATGGCAGAAAGCCTTGCCATGATCTCTGTGGGCCACCGGTGCCTCCTGCTGAGGATGTGGAAGAGGATGGTGGGCCATCTTTGTCCCCACTCTCATTTCCAGGCTAGTCGCATGGGAGTGGAGGCGGTCGTTGCCCTGCTGGAGGCCACCCCCGAGACCCCGGCCTGCGTGGTGTCGCTGAGTGGAAACCAAGCTGTGCGCCTGCCCCTGGTGGAGTGTGTGCAGATGGTAAGTGTGGCCAGTGGGTGGGCATGGAGAGGGGCTACCCATCCATGATGAGTGGGTCATAGTGTATAAAAACCATGCAGCCTCTACTCTCTTGTTTGTGAGTTGCCGTCCCAGTGGCACTCCAGTGGTGACATCCCCAAAGGTGAGTCTGCCGTCAAGAACCAGTGTGCTCTGGGGGCCTTGAGTGCCTCCTACAAGAGAAAGGATCAGGTGGCCCCTAGGCACCAGAGTCTGCTGGGAAAACAAGAGCAGGCAAATGGTCCTGCTGGGAATGTGTAGCGTAGCACTTCACAGGGAGAAGGTGTGGCATGGTGCATTTCTCCACTTTCAGTCACTCCCTGTCTGTCTGTTTGTCCCACAGGACATTCAGATCTGTGGTATGGGACACTGGAAGAGCTTCCGGTGACATTCTGGGAAGCACCATCCCCTTTGGTCCACAGGAATGTCTGAAACAGGATGGAGGAAAAATGAGTTATAAGTTTTCAACCTTTGTTCAGTAGGATGAGGTGGCAGTGAAGTTAGTTGCGTTAGAAATTGCTCTTCTGTTTTTCCAAAGTGACTGTAACTTTGGTCTTTCCATTGACCCTGAGGTGAATGCCTTTCATGATATGGAGAAGTGGATAAGTAATTAAGTCAAGGGGCTTAGGCACAGTAATCCTAATACACCTTAAAAATATACTTCCCGAAGCCATCAGGAGGGAAGAAAATCTGTATATGTGTGTGGTCATGTGTGTGTATGTGCAAATGTGTGGTCATGTGTGAATGTGTGTGGGCATGCTGTGCAAGCGTGTTCATGTCCATGTCCTTGGGGACGGGAGGACAGGAAGTGTCTGGAAGTGTGTGAGGGGTGATGGGCTTACAAGGCCACAGCTCGTTGATTTTGAGCCTGTTTCTCATGTCTCGTGTCTGTACTCCTAGAGACCAGGGTGGCACAAAAAACTTGGTTCCTTCTTGAAACCATCATATTAAGGTTTTGTTACTGAAGGCCACAGTGAGCCATTTGCTGGTTCCCTGTGGTTTGTCTGGTGTTTTCCTAACCATCTGTTTTTAATAACCTTAGACAGCTTTGGAGAGGGGTTGGGTTTTTCCTCTTAACTTACAGAGGAGGAGATTGAAGTTGGGAAATGGGTAACTTGCCCAGGGTCCTCACTGGAGCCTGTCATTCCTGTCACACCCTTTGTACTGGTGTGGCCCCAGCCCCTCTGTACCCTCTGCCTGCTGTGACCACACTCAGGTCTCGTACACAGGCCCCCAGAGAGGCCAGGGACTATGTTTTTCTTCTCCCTATCAGAATTAAATTGAGAAATTTCTAGAACCTTCCCTGAGAGATTGGTTTCGTCTAACTTTGCTCTTGTGGAGTGAAGTCCTTGTGCACTGGAGGCCATGAACAACAGGTCCCACCTCCTCCTCCTCTTTCTGGGAAGCAGTCTGGGCTGGGTGTGTCCACGGCTCTGAGCTCACAGCCAGGCACTGACAGTCCCACTGCTAACCACAGTGTTGGACGCCTGGCCACCTAATCTTGGGGCTGTCGCTCATCCAAAGTGAGACTGAGAGGGTCCAGCTGTGGAGGCATTGACCCTTTCCGCCCAGTAATCCCTACCCCGGGGACATAGCAACTCTTGGCACATTCTTATTTTTTCTTATTTCTTTTAAAAGACCCAGGATGTACAAAAGGCGATGGATGAGAGGAGATTTAAAGATGCTGTACGACTCCGAGGAAGGTGAGATATTTTGAAGAACATTCTACTTCATGAGGAACTTCTATTCCTTGGGCTTGGTCGTCTAGACTGTGCTTAGAGCTTGTTCTCCTCCTTTCCCAATATGCACAAGACCTAGATAACTAGGTGGAGAAAAATAAGTTGTTTTTTGTTTTGTTTTTAGCAGGGGTTGTTCAGACCCTAGTGAGATCAAGGTACAAGGAGACATGCTGCCTGCATTTTGAAAAGAAACTTAACAGGAACCCAAGAATGCCATTTTTCCTTAGCCTGTTTCTGAAGTAGAAAAAGACAGCCTCATAGGCCCTCTCAAGCTCCCTGTAGGACATGTGTAACATCAGGGCCTGGCTCTCCCTAAGTGGCCACTTGGGCATTTGCAGGGTATCTGGTAGGATTGTTCTGTGGGGCCCTGCCCCCAAAGTGAGTTCCTTCCTGCTGTGTTCAGTGTTCTTGGCCCTCACTCAGCAAAATCCTTTCTTTTCAGGAGCTTTGAGGGCAACCTGAACATCTATAAGCGACTGGCCATCAAGTTGCCTGATGATCAGATCACAAAGGTAGGTGACTGGCCTCCGGTGCCCCGGTCCTCCCAGGGCCTGAGTGCCCTTCTGCCCTCGTGCACACAGGCCCCAGCTTAAATGCTGGCTTCTGGGGGATTATCCTTGGGCTCTGCGGCTGGCCTTCCCACTGTGACCTTGACGCTACTGTGGAATGTGGTCACCTGCGTCGTGTGGGCCAGGTGTAAGGTGTGCAGCATGCCTGATGACCTGGGCCTGCCCTCTCCTGTAGAGCAACTGCAGCGTGGCTGTCATCAACGTAGGGGCACCTGCTGCTGGGATGAACGCGGCCGTGCGCTCCGCCGTGCGAGTGGGGATCGCAGACGGCCACAAGATGCTGGCTATCTATGACGGCTTTGATGGCTTTGCCAAGGGCCAGGTGAGTTTCCCCGGAGTCCCAAAGCACATGACACTGTCTCTGCACGTGGGGAGGCCAGGCTCTGGTGCCTTCCAACGTTTGTCATCCAGGATTCTGTGACACTGTGATGACAGCAGGTTTTCGCTTCAGGGGTCACTTCTGCTTGAGACTCCTTCCGCGAGTTAGAGTCTGGGCCTTCAAGTTAAGCCCAACACGTGACATGTTTTCAAGTTTCCTGAAAAGGTGCTGGGTGATGGCAGTGGTGGTGACATCACGGGCATTTGTCAGGTCTGCACTGGGCCCCAGCAGGTAGGGCACACGGTCTCTGCTGTGCCAAGCCCTCCGTGAGATGAGAAGAACAGTGCGCCCTTCTCACCTGCTGGCACTGGCCCGCATTCCTCAGGATTTACATATATTAGCTCATTTCCGCATTCACCTAAGTCTAAGATGTTGTCCTGATCTCACTGAGGAACCTAAGGCACAGAGTCATTGACTGACTCAACCCAGTTTCCCTGGTGTGGGACTGAAGCAGGGCGGGAGGACTGCAGAGCAGGCACCTCAGCCAGGAGCCATGCTGGCTGACACTAGCTAGCAAATTGTTTTGTTTGTTAAATTCTTACACTGCGAAGTTAAACAGGGCAGGGCAGACCTCTGAGAGAGAGGTGATAGTAGGAAGAGATCCAGTAAACCATCTAGGTTCTTAGACTGGGAGCAGTGCTGAAAAGACACTGGGGTCAAGAGGGTGATGGAGCCCAGCAGGGTTTGCATGAAGATCCTGCCCAGCTGCTGCTGGGAACTGGATTTTAGACCAAAGGTCTAGAATAGGCAGGTGACTCCTATGGGCCTGGTGTGCTCATACTGGGTAGAGGAAAGGAAGTGCAAAGGCCCTATGGTAAGGTGTTGCTGTTCTAAGATGGTGGTGGCCATCCTGCCCGGGCAGGGGAATGAAAGGGTGGCAGAAGGGGGTGGGGATAGAAAGGAAGCTAGGGCCACATCATTGGTAGACAGTGGGGAGTAAGAAGCTTGGCTTTTATGCTGAGCTTTTATGCTAAAATGGGATGGTTTTCAGCAGGGGAGTGGTATAAACTGCTGGGCTTTGCCAGGATCCCTGGATGTTCGTCAAAGGCAACAGCAGGGAGCACCAAGACTAATTGTGGGGAGGGGAGCAAGAAGAGTTGGTGACATTGTCCATTCTGGCAACTGCACAGACAGACGTCTTCAAAGGTCTGAGTGTACTTTCAGGACAGGGTTGATGGGATTTGTTCATTTAATATGCAGCTATGGGGAACGAAAACAAAAGGGAGGAAGGGTTACTCCCCTCTGGCCTGGGCCGATGGGAGGGGTAGAACTGCAGTAATGCAATTAACCGCAGGAGAAAGCCTGGGGTTGCCAGCTTGCAAGGAAATACAAGGAGCTGAGGTTTAACAAGGCTCATGAAAGATGTCCAGGAAGCAGGTGGACACTGGGGCCAGGTGTCATCAGAGATGTGGCCTAAGATGTGAGCTGGGAGGCTTTAGCATCAAGATGATAGACTTAACAAACTTGGCGTTTCCCCAGTGGAGTGGAGGTACGACAAGAGCAGGAGCAAAGTCTGGGGCCTTGTTGAAAGAATAGAACCAGAGGAGCCAGCACCAGGCCAGGAGGCAGGAGTGGCGGAGAGGTGGGGTGCTTTCACCTAATTGGCAGCCCTGGGGAGCACCCCACAGTCCCTTTCCACCTTGGGCAGCTGAAGGACAGCACCCAGTAAGATAGGGTCCCTCTGTCCTAGTCTAAGCAGCAGAAAGGGGACTAGGAACCCTGCCATCCTCAAGGGCATCTTGCTCTGCCATTGTTCCTATTGATGCTTTGGGAGACTTACTGGTATTAAGCTGTTCTTTGCTTTATGTAAATAATTAAGCCAATCTCAAAGAACCAAATGCCAAATGTTTTCTCTGATAAGCAGATGCTAATTCACAGTAAGGGGCTGGGGGCGGGCTAGGGAGAATAGAGGTACTTTGGATTAGACAGAGGGGAATGAAGGGAGGGGAGGGGGCGTGGGGGTAGGAACGACAGTAAAATGAATCAGGCATTGTTACCCTATGTGTGTATATGATCACCCAACCCCTGTAACTACCCCATATACAACCAGAAGAGTGAGAAGTTATACTCTATTTATGTATGATGTGTCTGTATGATGTGTCCATGTATTCTACTGTCATGTATAACTCATTAGAACAAATTTTTAAAAAAGATTTACTCCCTTCAAAACTGGCAGTTATAACTTCCAACTTGTGGTTCTCAGCAGCATTATGTTGGATCCCCTCCACTATGGTCTCTTTTTCTGTCTCTGTCTGTCTGTCTGTCTGTCTGTCTGTCTGTCTCTCTCTCTCTCTCTCTCTCTCACACACACACACACACACACACACACA